GAAGTGGATAATCTTATTCCCATAGCAAGAAATCATAGCCTGTGCGTATCTCCAGTTACAATTACCGAGTTGCTGCGTCCATTCATACGACTGGTCCCATCAACGAGGGCGCGGTAGCTATGTCGAAATAGTATTAACAGCGCACAGTGCAAATACAATCCTATACATCGGGAATAAACATTCAAATGTGCGTTGTAACATGAAAGATTCGTGATTAGGTAACCTGAGCACTAGTAGTACTACAGCTTACATTGATTCGGGGGGAAATGCAATATACCTCTTCCACCACGAGAAATTAAATCTTCATTCTTATACATGTGGCATATCAATATACTAACGACCCAGCATACCGGAAATTGTCATATTACTAGAATGATACCACTCTCGATCACGTGATTCATTGTTCTGGCCATTGGTACATGCTGACAAAAATTATGGACCTCCATCTCGTGCTAAGAGCTTCACTCTCCGAATGACGAACCAACTATATATATCACTATTCCACCCACATTAAAATACCTCACACTCGGGAATAATCTCAGACGACCATCTAACACACACCATGGCGCAACCAAGCATATTACGATAGGTCAACAAATCCATCTCGCCCATAGAAAATATAAACGACTCGTGGAGAGATGACATTGTGCAACGAGGACTGAAATGACCACCGGGAACATTCCCATACTCGTGACCGATCAGAAAAATCAGAACCCTCAAACTTCTAACGAAACAGAGACTCAAAATGACATAGCCCCATGACTAGAACAAAACTGATTTGACATTCCACATAACTACACTATCCATTGCCTATAAACACATTTTTGTCTCAAGGACACTGAAGTAATGTACCCATTCCAAGCACAACCCATCTGGCGGTTATCATACATTGTGCATAGTTCATATTTGCCTAAATAAAACAATGTTCCTTTCTGTCCGTCTAATCAATATTCCACCCCTAGAATAAACAACTTCAAATGTCCTTCACACACTCAATAAAAAAATATATATCTACATACAGCGGTTACTGGGAGAC